ATATATCCAGCGCTGCACTTCACCTCAACAGTCCACAGGAAGAGACAAGAGACTGGGTAAACTGTGTTTTCCAATAACTTTTTCTTTTGAGTCAGGTAAAACAAAATCCGTTTAGCTTGTAGATAACAGTCAATCTTATATGAATGACTCTCCTAAGTCAACCTGGGGTATACGGTTTTAGGAAATCGCAGTTTGCAAATAACTTTCAATTACTTTCTGGCTTAAATCAAGTTTTTCAGGAAATTCTCTTTGTGGTATATTGCATCTGGCTGAGTGGCCTTTATTGTGTTGGCTCTCAGGTGGGCTGTTATATGGGAAGGCCGGACCCTGGGGTCCTGTGTCGCCTCCGGCTTATATTGAGACAGACACTGAAGTGACGATCTTACCCAATAGCCTGACTCCCTCACTCAGCGAATCCTCTAAGTGTGTTACCTGTCTAGGAGGGTGGCTTAGATACAATGAAACACTCACTTGTCACTTTTATTAACCCTCTTTTACCCCCTTTTCTCTCCACAACTCCCCCAACAAACTCCACAGCCTCCTACTATCGCTCTAACCCACTCCTCACGCCCAACAAAATCCACATCTCTCTTTTCTTTTCTCCCCTACATTAACCCGCAATTCTCCCTATCACACCCCCTGAAGCCAAAATCATCTCCATTTTGCATAATGCTCCATTTAAACTGATAGTGATGACATGAGCGGGAGGGCACTAGAAGTGAGATGGAGAGAATGGGGAAGTGATGAAGCTTTGTCCTCTCTCTCTAACTCACTCTCTGTCTCTCTCCCTTGACGGCTGGCTGTGACCCCTGGTGGCAGTTATTATCCACAAGGTTGCAGTTGGTCCCTTGTCCCATGAGCAGGACGCAACCCCTTCCTAATGTAGTCCCCCACTAGGCCTGCTCCTGTGAAGCCATATACTCACTGCACACACACATACATATATATATACACACACTCACTCACTCTCACACATACACTATACCTTGCCCATCCATCTAGCAAGCTTTACTCCCTTCTGCCACTGCCTTGTGCTAGTCGAGTGCGGTCCTGGAAGCAGGAGGAGATGTCATGTAGGGTGGGAGGTCTATTATGTTGTCAATGTGATACTGATTCATGATATAAGACATTATGCATGTGTCACAGGGTAGTGTTTCATTTTTACTGAATACTTAGGGGATATTTCAACATGGAATAGCACTGAAAGTGGAAGTATCTAACAAGCTACACTGTTCTTCTCAAATGTGAACATTTACTATTTTTATATGTTTGATATCACTATAAATTGAATACTTTTTGTTTGGACAACACAAGCATATGTCACCCTTTAGGAAATTATGATTGTCATTCTTAACTATGTCTACAATTTCTAGACTTTCTAGAATATATACTTCTGCTACAGATTTATGTAACATTTGTTTTTTTTTTCTTGTGAAATAGAGGGTGGTATTAACTCTACAGGCATCTAAATGTTTAAAATGAAACAGTGAGAAAAAAGGTGAAGTCACTAACTGCTCAAATAACACATTGACCCACACAACCTGAGATAAGGGGCTACATGTAGAAATTGCTTTGTTTTTAAGAGTTTAAAAGCCTGTAAGTTTGAGTACCACTGTGTAGAGTGGGCATAGATAAGACCTGCTCCACTTTACTTTTTGAATATAAGTATTTTAAACACTTTAAGCTACTCGCTATTCTCAGCTCAACTATTTACTGGGCTGGTTTGATTGCTGCTGACTGTCTATTCTCACTTGATCTGATAGTGTTTCGCTGATCATAAATATTACATAATTTGAAAGTTTCTCTGGTTGAAAGTGAATATAAATATGAGTAAGATTTTGGATGTGTAAGCATTTCACCAGGCTGCAGAATTTTGTAAACCTAGAAAATAGACTGTTGATCCTAAATCACCTCATCCTACCTGTCAACCAAAATAAGAGAAAAAATTTAAAACAGGCGCTTTTATAATATTTAACAGAACAGAAATAAACAGAGCAGAGAACAGAAAACAATGACAGAAACAAGCTCTGTCAATATCTCTATCTTTCTTGTGTGACACATTTTTAAATATTCCAATCGAGAAGTGGGCAGAGACACAACACAACCTCATGAATTCAAATGGGCAATGCCCGGAATGCCAATGGTTTCTGTCTTTCCTGCTGCTACCAATTTATATTTTCCATATGGGTCCTTAACGGCAAATGGAAGTCAGTCCGTGACCTTCTATCCCTCCTGCCTCCCCCTGGGGACAAAGGCGGTCAAAAGTCAAGGAAATTCTGATTCCTCAGCACAGCACACGAAGGGCACCTAAACACAAACCAAACAGCTCCCACAATGCCTCACTGTTGGCAAACTTGGGTTCCCTCCCTCAGAGATCTGCTAGTATTCTAAATGGTAATTATTACTCTCACACACACACACACACACACACACACACACACTCGCAGGTGTGCATACACACTACCTGGACTGTACAGATTAAATGCAAAAGACAAAGAGGAGAAAGGGAGGAGTTCAGGAAGAGGCAAAAAGAAGAAGAAAATGAGGTGTAGTAAGAAAAAATGGAGGAAGTGTAGCAAACTAGAAAAAAGAAAGAACATAGGACAAAAAAGTGGTGGGTATGTAAATGTGGAGTCAGAGAGTTCAAGAGGAGAGAATAGGTATAATGTGCTGAGCTGACCTGGGGCCGCGGGGCTGAGTGTCCAGGGGCCAGTGGGGACGGCGGTCAGATCTCAGTGGTTATCATTATGTTAAGGGGGAGGTGTTCTCCGTCTTGCTCTCAATCCCTCCCCCCCTCTATCTCAGACTCCATTTCTCTCCCAGGGCAAAGGTGAGACGGCCTGGGGAGCGGTGGAAGGTGAAGGGTAACATGGGGCGAGCTCCGGGTCGGCGGCTGTCGTTAGCAATGCAGCTTGACCTGCTCACCTATAACTTGAAGTTTTACTCCCCAAGTTTTTTTTTAATGCTTTTTTTTGCCACTCGCGTCTCGTTCTCTTACCACTGCCAGACCAAGCTGGGATTGATGAAATGTCCCCTCCTGAATTTTAATAGGTTAAATGTTTCATTGAGGGAACTTGTTGGGGGAAGTTTGCCAAAAAGTCTCAGACAGAATCAAAAATATAGACATGTTCTTTTCTAAGGAAATTTACAACTTTAATACGATTAATTCGGAGGGGCAATGTTATGCATGTTTATTTATGAATCACTGCATCTAGAATCAAAATCAGTTTTATTGTTCAAGTACAGTATGTATACACATACAAGAAATTTGACTTCAGTTTTAGTTTGCTTTCAGTGTTTCAGGCTGAACAATTAAATCAAAATCACAAAATGGCTTGCCCTTTTCAAATCACAGGAGGAACAATATTTTTTAGGGTAAAATGTTAATAAATATTAACTGTGTGCTGCAAATATGTCCTAGCCTACACATCATATTCTACAGACTTCTTTGTTTGGTACAAATCTCCTCAAAAATCACACCATAATAATTCCAATATGTTCTTCAATAAAAATGAGAATAATGATGTAAAAATTACGTTTCTCTCTAATATCGCAAATTCTACCGCAATATCAGTCAAAACAATCGCAAGAAAGAAACAAGACAAAGCTAAACAAAAATAATAATAAACACAGAACTATATACATATGCATGTGTGCAATAAAGAGAATATACACAGTACAGTTTTGTCTTTGCACAGAATATATGATGTATACTATGGCTTTTTGCTGCTACATAAGTTCAGTAAAGCTGCAGAAATGATAAAAAGATAAAGATAAAACTTACTACATCTCATGTAGGTTTCTAGTACTGCATGATTCTACAGATTCTATAAATGGTAAAAAAAAAGGAAAAGGGGACAGAAAAGAATGAAGAAAGGAGTTAAAAGGAAGAGGCAGAAGGACCCTTACACCTTAGAGCTAGGAGATCAAAAGCACACACACGCACACCCGCCTGTCTAAAACACATGGCACTTTCCACAGATTAGAAATCATCTCAGTTTACAAAACCCTCGCTCCACAAAAGGTGTTCTTTTCACTGAGATGAGGCCGTTGGCGCAAAGAAGAGCCCCAGGCCTTTTCATTGTCAAGCTCTTTTTCTTTTCTTTGCCGCCAACAACACCGCCCTCTTTATCAGTGCAATTACAGCACAAACAGACTCATCATTGGCCCAACTGTCCTCTCCTATCGCCTCTATTTCCACAAGCAACCTAATTAGTCCTAAAGAGAGGAAAGCTGACAAGCAGAGTAGAGAGGCAGAGAGAGAAAAGACCAGCTATCATGTCCATTTGTGTGGGTTTGGAACAGCAATTGAATGTGTTTGTGTGTGTCTGTGTACGGATGTATTTCTCCCCCTGTTTTTCCCTTTCTTTTTGTTGTTGTTGTCCTCACTCTTTCTATCTCCTTTTTTTCCAGAGAAAGAAAGCCTTCAAAGGAGCGATTGTGCAGGGCGGCTGAAGTGGTCTGTTGGTAAGCGGACAGCAGAGCAACACAACAAACATGGCTGGCACTAATCAGGGCCCCGGCTAATGTAAACAATGTCATTTTTTGCCCTTAATGAGCCAATTTTCCGCAGATACGAGAGGGCTAACAATTGGGGCAGCGCCTTTGATGTGATTCATCTGAAGGTTTGTTTGTGATCGCTTGGCACTTTTTGTTGGAAGCCCTGCGCCCAGCTGCTTTCATCTAACCCTGAAAAGGGAGAGCCACGACTCACTTGGGTACAGAGGGAGGAGGGAATAAAAATAATAATTTTCTTTTCTTTCCCTTTTTTTTTAGAAGACAACCACCCTCCCCCTTTTATTATAAACTCGTCCTAATCAGCTGACCGGCCCCCTCTTTTTTGTCTCCCTCCCCTTTAGCCCAACACACACTTCTGTGAACATGCATACATATACAAGAGCGAAGGAGCATCATCCATGAGGGATAAAAAAAAAATGAGCATCATTCGTGCTGGGTGTCTATGGCGATCAAATAGCGAACTCATTAAAAGGCGCCCCCGGTGTGCGAGCGGTGGACACTGACAGGGCCTTCATTAACATGGTGCTGACAAAAGGTGAGGCAGACCAAAGAGGCAGCCGGCGGGCCAGGTGTGTGTGCCGCGGCGCCTTTCAAGATGGCACCATGGCCAGAGGCAGGCGAGATGGCAAGCACACTCCATCAAATGGCATACTGACCAAGAACAAGCTGGTTCTGTTGAGAGAGAGAAATAAAGAGAGACAGAGTCAGATAGAGAGAGAGAGAAAGCTTTTCACTGTGCACTAAAACCTCCAAACTTCCCATCTGCTATAAGCTAATCCTGTCATTTTATCTGCAAGCAATGATTCATTTCATAAAGCAGATCAAATCTTTCAATGAAAGTTCCTGGACCAGGAAAACATGTCTTGCTGTGCTGATTATCATAATAAAGTGAACTCTTCAAAGTTCAGCACAAGGCCACAAAAAAACACAAATAACAAAAACAAAACAGGAAAGCAGAAAGAGAGGGGTATTGATGTAATGAAGGTAGTCAAAGGTAGTGACCAAAGGCAATACATCGCCCCATGTCCAGGCCTATTCCAATCAATCACTGGAGCTGAAGTGAAGTCAACTCCAGGCTAGTCAGTCAGCTAGGCCCACAAAACATCCACATATATATATATATATATATATATATATATATATATATATATACACACACACACACACACACACACACACACACACATACATACGCACATACACACCTCTGTCTGCCTCTCTGGCCATGAGTCAGGGGCCCTCTGGGGCCAACCACACATACACACACATTGCACCTGCTGGGCCCTGCAGTTACCAGCTGTCAACTCCACGTGTTCTGTGCCGTCTGTTTAGTGTGTGTGTGTGTGTGTGTGTGTGTGTGTGTGCGTGTACACGCGCCTGTGTGCGTAAGAGTAAAGGGTTGCAGAAAAGTTACATGCCTCAGCTGGACCATGAACTGAGAGGAAGAAAGTGATGAGGGACCTTCAAGGACATTTAACTGCATTCAACAAATGTTCAAACAAAACCAAATTAACTAGCTTGGTTTCTGGTTCAAATTAATTTATAATAGATAAAGTAAATAAAAACAGCTGCATGTTTTTAAATAATAATGGAATAATAATGGATAAGACTCAACTTTTCTAAACCCATGTAAGAGCGCTGAATCCTTAAATCAAGCTGTGGAGATTAATGGTTTTGACGGAGACAGTAACACACTGGGAAAGTTCCCAAAGATCAGGGCTAAATGATATAAAACTGCCTTCCATAAAATCAGCTCTTCATATACTGATGAATCAATTAGTCGCTTAAATCATTAGTCGACCTGATTAAAAAAAATTGTTAGCAATACTGATAATCAATTAATTGTTAAAGTAATAGACCAAGCAAATGTCAACCTACCAAGCATGTCAAACACTGACTAGATCCCACTTCTGAAACGCAAGGATTGGCTGCTCATCTGTCGATTGGAAAAAGCAAGTAATTTAAAGACATCACCCTTGTCTCTGGGAACTATGTCTTAGACTACAGAGACTATATGTCTTTCTACTATGTTCAGGCATTTTATAGACTAAACAATTCACTAATTACTGAAAAAAAAAGACTCAACAAATTAGCTAGTTACTACATGATATACATCAAAAAAGTGATACAGTAAAAGCAGAAATAAGCATTAACCAGTAAAATGGATAGTTTTGGTGTAAAAAATAACACATTACACATTACATTGTTTACCTCGAAGGCATGACCTTAATCCTGAGCTCCCTCCACCTCTGTAAGGGACAGAGAGATAGGAAACTAGGCTCAGGCAACAATGAATAACATGTCTGTTTTGGGGGGGGGGGAATCAATAATGTGTTGTGATGTGAAACTGATTCCCCACTGGATTTCACTGTGCTCTGTGCAAGCTTATTCTCTGTGTGGCCCTAAGGTAAATAGTGTACTTTGTTACAGTGTGTAGCAGTAAGCCTTGGAGACCTGTGCAGCGATTAAGCCGTACTGGAGCACATTAGCCCAGGCCATGTCATGGCAGGCTGAAACAGGCCTGGCATGGAAGGGAAAAGGATGAAGGGAGGGCTATACCAGAGGGAAGGAAAGAAAAAAATGGGATCAAAAGAGAGTAAAATGAACTAAAAACAGGACAGGAGGGCAGGGCGAGGAGAGGAATGTGAGGGAAGAGTAAAAAAGGACAAATATTAAACAAGAAAGAAAGAAAATGAGAGAGAGAAAAAAGCGTGACAGTGAAATGACATGTGTGTGACTTCATGTCATACAGTTTGTGTGTGCATCGTCATACAAGACTTCACTCCTCCACAGAAGCATTTTCACACCCAGAGAAAGACAAGATGAGCAAGCGCAAGACACTTTGTAGTGTCACTGCTGACAGTAAAGCAAAAGACAGTAGGGATGGCTAGCAGGAGTGATAGAAGGGTGGTTAAAGAGAGGATAACAGAGACACGACAGGAGTGGAGAGAGTGACAAATTCCCTGCTGATGGCTATTTACAGGCTATTCCTCCTCACGGCAGAAACCTGAGGCCTCAAACCCCTTTCTCATTTCCCCCTCTTTATTTATCCCTCTCCTTCCTTCTGTGGGAAATTTGTCACTTTTGCATAATGGTACTATATACTGATGTGGAGTGGTGTGAGGCGCTGGTGGAAGCGTGGTGGCAATATGCACAACCCAAGGTGTGATGGAGAAAGTGGGGACAGGTAATGGAAGAGAGGACAGAGAGAAGTTGATAGCAGCAATTCCTTCCTCAATCTCTGAGGGAAAAAAAATCACTGACCATCTTCCTAAACCCACAACCCCCCTTTCTTTTTCTGTCCCCCTTTGCCCCCGTCGACCACCTCTCCCCTCCATCCCTCCCTCTTGCACACCACCCCTCCTCTCTTTCACTCTCTCCTTTGCCTCTGCACACCTCTCCCCCCCCCCCCCCCCCCCTCCAGGAGGCAGTTGTCAATCAAGTGCGTCTCCCACAATCCCTCTGGAGCTCATTGTGCCTGCGGTCGCTGGCGGAGGCAGGCGTTGTGAGGCGGCGGAGAGCCGCAGATGGAGGGAGCCCTGTCAATCATTGTCACTAATTATTAATTTCTGTCACTCAGGGCCCCGTGGCAGCCACGTAGCGGGGGCCTCTCACACGCTCTGTCTCTCCCTCCTTTCCTTCACCATCCTCCTCCTCTCGACTCATTCAGCAAGTAGGTCTGCATCCCTTTGTCCCTCCCATGTTCAGTCCCTCTCTACCTCCCTTGTCCCTCGTTAAAGTCTGGCTCTCCTTCGCCTTTGCCTCTTTCGTTCGGGTCGCCTGTTGTTTCCATTTCTCTTTCCTTCCCTATCTCACCCTGCAGGCTGCTCTCTCTCTCTTTCCCCACTCTCCCTCTCAACACTCCCAGGGTGAGACAATTTGGTATGCCACCCCAGCCACAAAAGTTCAACCTTTCATTATGTGGTGCACGTGCACTAAGAACTGCCCCCTCTCCCCTCCTCTCCCCTCCCATCATCAGGTCAGTCCCCTTGACTCTCTGCTGCCTTTTAATTGTATTCTGCCCTCCACCCCTCTCAGCCTCTCGTTTTCCCCATCTCACCCACCAACACACCACGTGTGACTCCTTCTCTAATTCCTTGAGAATCCCAAAAAGACATTAAAAAGACCTGCTTGGCATTTTTTTCTTCTATTTTTTTTAGCTCAGACTCTGCAGGTCTCTGCAGAGGTTCTGATTTGATTTGGTGAACTTGGTGTTTTCAATTTGCACACCGACGCTTGTGCCTGTGATGGCGGCTAATGAGGGAGGTCAGACCCACATGTAGCTGCGGCTGAGAACGGGACCGGTCCACTCCACTAAGGGTTCTGATCCGCTCCCACCCTCACCTCATTACCAGAGGTGGTGGGCTGGGAGGCAAAGAAGAGAGAGGAAGAGGAAGAGGGAGAGAGGGGGGGTTTGGGGGGGGGGTGATTTCGAGTGAGAGCGCACACACACACACACACAGTCGTTCACATATATTCATGAAAACACACTGCATACACATCTAAATATTCCCATGCCATGTAAGCACACCCAAATGCATGCGCTAACTCACGCTGACATCACATCATTATACACACACTCATATGCATTCACATCAAACATACACACATACACCTTTCACTATACTGTATATATACACACATACATTCATCTTATAATATGCCCACAAAAACATTTTCAATCACAAATATGCATATGTAAACACATAAATACAGTATCTCTTATCACATACCTGCTCATTTACATACTTGCAATTGGAAACATGCATTAAATAATACATGTACCTTGTTCGTTGATAGTCAGTTCACTCTCCCTTACAGTCATTTCACAATGTACATGAACACACATATGCATGATATCACAGAGTCTGGTGTACCCACTCTCCTTTAAACACACACACTATATACATTTTCTCCCCCATTTCTTCCTCCAGGATTACTATTCGTGACAGACCTGTGCTGCTCTAATGAGGGGCCGAGGAAGAGGCCAGCTGGACACCACTGATCCTTCACCTCCCACCTCCCTCCCATTCCTCCATTTATACTTCTTTCCACCCCCCCCACCCCCCCCACACACACACACACACACATCCATCCATGTGCCCTCACTACCCCCTGCATGCCCCACAGTCCTGCTCTGCATACAGCCATTAGCACCCCTCTACCCCTAACCTTCTGTCTCTGCACCTCCACCTCCCTCCCAGAGCCTGTCTGCCTCTGTCTCCTCTCTTTCCTGTCGCTTGCTTTTCCTCAGCACCTGTCACTTTTCCCTGTCTTCCCATCTCTGTTGTTTTTTCCCCCCTCTCGTCCTCTATCTCTTCTTCTCATCTCCTCTTACCTGTCACTGTCTTTCTCTTCCCATCTGATTGTCTCTTTACTCCCTTTATCTATCCATTCCTTTCTCTCTCTGTTGCCAACCTCCTTTCTCTGCCTCCCTCTATGTGTGTGTGTGTGTGTGTGTGTGTGTGTGTGCGTGTGCATTCAGCACCTCAGTGGAGACAGGGTTTATTGGGGTAATGCATTTATCACTGCAGCAAGCCAGGGCCTCACCTCCTTCTTTGAGTCAGTGAGTAATGAAAATGGGATCACTTCTGACAACACACACAGACTCACACAAATGCACTCCTGCGCGCACACACACAAAAACACAAAAATGCACAGTCGTGCTTACTGCAAAAAAAAATAAATGCACAGATTTTAACACACAAGCAGATATACACCAATGCCATCAACCCAACCCCAAAAATATAACCATACTTAAGTGATGCTTATGAGTACACACTCAGGTATTATATATTTCACATGAATTGGCAACTTCTAATTAAATTTTTTTTACATTATATAACTGGTTCTTTGTCTTTGATAAATTGCGAAGAAAAGTGTTGCTTTGTAGTTAATTGATTACTCCGAGCATCCAGTAATATAATTATAATAACAGTTGCTTTAATTACACGGAGATGAGGCACACAAGTTGGAGACTTTCCATGTTAAACTGTGAGAAAGAGTAATGGTTGTGATACAGCCTAAATCACAATAAAGAGGAATATTTAAATATGTTCTGAAATGCCCCTGAATTACCTTCTCATCTACCAAGAGGTGTGTAATATTGTTTACTTTATTGTCTCTTTGGAGGGTAGAATACAAAATATAACATGGAAGCTATAAAGACTTTCAGGTTAGAAAGATGTTTACATTTCAACATATTTACTGTCATCATCATTAAGTGACTAAATGAAGGTGAGCTGAGAGAAGTAGAAAATCTTATAGGTATCCTTACATTAAAATAAGGACACCTATAAGATTCATGTTTGAAACTACAGACAGTCATCAGCAAGTTTTTCCACATTTACTGGGCTTGATCAGTTCAGAGGGATCCAGTAATTCCCTTATAAATTGCAAAGAACCATTTCATCAGACTTTTTGCAGCAGTTTTCAGCCAAACAATCTGCTCCACACTAACATCAAGCTGATTGTTTTAATAAATTACAAATAGCTGTGCATCACTGTTTGCTAAAACTCAAAGTTTGCAATAATATTTTTGTATATCATGATTTCAATATACATTGTAATATACTTTTTTGGGTAAATTAATTGTGAAATTGTGTCAAGATAAAATAACTAGATTGACAAGTCTGTCTTTGGTTGCTTTAAATCGAGGTATTCCATCACATTTATGCTGAAATCCAAATTGTACTCCAATTCTTTTATCTCTTTCTTCTTCTATGTGTTTGTTTAACTAGCCTATTCATCTGCATATACTGTTTTATTTTCCTTTCTTTTAAAATAATAATTTTTGTATGTCTGAAAGAGATAATAAATACTGGAGACTTTAATGGTAAAATAATTAAATTGTATGGAAAATCATATCATAAAAAATGTGCAAATATTTATGGGTAGAGTCCAAATAATACTGAGGTCAGTACTGTTATCAACAACTGAATGTTTAAATTTACAAAACAAAATACCAACAGCATAACTTGGCAGTTATCTCTGATGCCACACTATTCGTGACACTATTTCTAACCTAACTCAAATGATCTATAAAAAGCTGACAGACGATTTTTAGGTTGGGATCTCTTCTTGAGTACATCACTTCACTGCTCACAGTAGCTACTCAATCATTTTGCACTAGCAATGTCTGTTAAGAATGCACTTCATGTTGTTTCTATAATAGGATCAAGTTGGAAACCTTAAAGAAAATCTAAATGATTGTTTTTTATGTTGCACTGCTTGTGCTACAAATGAAACCTTGATTAACGACACCAACCCTAATGCAACATCCAATTCAATTCAAGCAACACTTTTCTTTTGTCCATGAACATGCAATTAAATTTAAAACTCTAAATTTCAGGTGGAATCAGAAGGCAACATGTCCAGATATTGAAGCCATAGTTTTCTAGGAAGAAAGGAAGCAGGTAAGGATCAAGTGTTAATGGCCAGGGGTGCCTGTCTAATCCCATTTGGTCTGGCAGTGTCGGCAGGGTGGGGGAGGTCTTCACCAATTTAAAACGATACCGTCACCACAGGTATTCCTGCTAGGCTCTGACTGGCCTTGACAGAACAAAACATCGCTGCAGCAAACAACTCAAGCACCTCCCACTACATCAAACTCAAGAGGACAAGGTCAGATCAGCAGCAACATAAAGTTTAATCTTAGAAAACAAACTTCTCTTCGAACTGCACCCTGAAACACAGTGTATCGTAGATGAGAAGAGCGTTGCTAATACACCAAGTGGTGCGTGGAGAGCCTAAGTCAAAGGACTGCTGACTAATGTGCCGAAATGGTTGGAAATACTCTGTGGTATTGCAGATGGCAGAGGTATTTGTTATTCATATGGCCCTCAAGGTGCATCCACAAGGCTAGCGAAAAAAGTGTGTGTCTGCACGTGCATGTGCGGATGTCTATGTGTATGCTTTTGTGAGTGTGGGTGTGTGTGTCTTGTGCTTCATCCACACTGCTGAGGATGCCATTAATGCTTGCTGCTGATCGCCCTCCCACATTTAAATAACAATAGTGCAGTCAGAGAAAGCATTGGTGTGAATCCAACCCGCAAAACACCCAGGAGCTGCAGGCCCCACGCCCGCTGTGTGTGAGCGTATGCGCGTGTTTGTGTATGTGTGAGTTTAGTTGCACTCGCTTGTGCTCAAACATCCACATACATGCGAGTCTGAGAAAAAAATAGTAAGCCAGAGACAGGAAGAAGAGAGAGAAAGACAGTGGGAGAGAGGGAGGCAAGCTGCAGCTGTGTCTAAAATACACATAGTCACTGTGTTGCGCAGATAGGTTGTGCGATGGAAACTACAGGTCCAGAGAGCTGCACCATTAGCATGCACTAGTGGCCCTGGATCCTTCAGTGGATAAGCTGCCTGTCTTTTAAATTGAATATAGAAGTGGACCAGAGGTGGCCAGAGTGCTAACTGTAGGGTATCAGTCTTATTTGTCACCTCAGAAATAACCAATATTTCATGTTTTCCTCTTATTGGGGCTTCATTAAAACCATCAATGTTGGTACTCCATCAGGCACAGCAAATAACAGCAGAACATTAAGTCAGTTTCTGTCATTGTTATAATTTGGACAGCACATTATGAGCATCACCGAGCACACCAACATTCAGTGAGTGAGCTCACACAAATAAACATCAGAGAAGATGACAAGGAACAAGAATATCAAAACAAGCAGCAACACAAGAGATATCAGTCCTACTGTTTCCTAGCTACTAATTTCCAGCATCAAGTCCACCCATCTATGTATCCATTATCTATACCTGCTAATACTGTGCAGGGCAGCAGGAGTTGGACATTATTCCTGCTTACATTGGGAGGATAGATCACTAGCCTGTCACAAGGCTGATATAGGCCTACACAAAAAAAACATCCACATCTACTAGACACCTTGAGCCACCACTTATCCCTATATGGATTTGGACAGTGGGAAGAAACCAGACATCCCATGCAGACACAGCAAGAACATGTAACTGCACACAGAAAGGCCTCAGCAAGAGATCAGCAAGGTCCCATCCGTCTAATATTTAATTATAATCCATTTAAATATAATTCTAAAAACACAGCTAATCATCAATGTGCTGTTGCACATTCACAAGCACCAAGTTAGCATTAAATATCTTTTCTACAGCAGATACTTGTCATAGAGAATCACAGGCGTTACTGACTGACTGTCCCAATAGCCATGACAGTGTAACAATAAGCATGCACATTACTAGGACCTTGAAACTAAAGCAGCTAAATGGAATCATTAATTTTATTAGTTACACCTGTGCTTCTTCTACTGTGACATGTCTTTCATGAAAAATGTCCACTTCTCTGACACCTAATTCCATGGCAATTTGGCAAAAACTGATAAACCCAACAATAATGCTGAAATATAAGAATAGTGTGAACCACTTTGAGGGTACTTACCATAAATGTCCCTTCTTTATGGATGAATTTGGCCCCTCTCCTCTTCAAGTGACAGTGGTGTTTATAACTGTCCACCTGTGAAATATAACTTATACCTTTAAAATAAACTATTAACAGTTCTTGAGCTAGCTTGCAAGTTGTAACTCTAGTTTGACTTCTTTACCCACCACTAAAATGTATTTTCTTATGCAGCTAATTCGCGCCGAAATTAGCGCACCAAAAATAATTCTCTGTGCTTGTCGTAATTTAGCTAGCCTAGAAGCTGGACTGTCCTCCCTGAAAACGAAGCTTTTATTAACATGCGTTTGATAAATCTTGTTGGGACAAAAGTTGAAAATACAAACTCACTTCTCAGCAATATCCATCCATCCATCGTCAACCGCTTATCCTGCGTACAGGGTCACGGGGGGCTGGAGCCAATCCCAGCTGACATCGGGCGCAAGGCGGCTACACCCTGGACAGGTCGCCAGTACTTCTCGGCAACAGTTCGGGAGAATTCAAGTCTGTACTTCAACCTGTAAGTAAAAGTAGACACACGTCTCCCTCAGACCAGGTGGGGCAGATGAAGCCCCTTTGGTTACAACCTGTGTAAAGGTTGTAAAAGTCCAAGATGGCGTATAATCCTGCTCCTTGCTTAGTGCTGAAGTAACACTGGTCGCTGGATAAAATAGTTAGTCTTTTCCTATTGATTCTGCCCATTTTCCAAGCTGAATGGTAAGCCTTAAATGTGAAGACTATGTCATTTTAATTTAGATGAAAAACAACACATTACTACTACTTTAGTTAGTATTATATTCAACAAGACTCACTAGACTCTGTCAAAACAAACAAATGTAACTTTTTGTTCATTTATTGCAGAATTAGTCAACTGTTATTTGTCTTTTATATTATAGGCCTACATAGGCCTTCATATAAGCCTATGTATAATATAAAAATTTATATATATTATCCCTCACCCCCCAGCCAGAACTCTGGATGTGCACATCCTCAACTTTTTGTGTGTGTGACTGTACAATGCACCTTACATTTACATAACACCTATATTATGACCCTTGTTCTTTCTGACCTTTAAATAAACAGCAACTGCATCTCAGCCCCACAGTGCATCTTCCACACACTTTATATATAAAGCTGACTCATTGTTTGTAGTTTTTGTGGACTGGAGGGTGCATCTGATAAAGTGGATACAGAGTGGACATGCAAGATATGTATGTTGTTTTTTATCTGTGTCTACGATGTGCCAGTGCATCCAGTAGTCAATGCAATGCAAATCCTAAAATATAAAATCCTCTGACACTCAACTCCCTCTCATTCTACCCGCTCTGTGTAATCAGAGAAACCATTCTGCATCAGCATCTTTCCATCCACTTTTCATCTTATTCCATCCATCTTACACATTCCTGGCCTACAAGCACACACACACACACACCCACCCTTAGTCGCTCATACAGCTGCAGGGTGCTGTCTCTCTCTTCTCACCTCTCTTTTACACTTGAAATGTTGAATGTCTGAAATGTTGGCTGTCACAGAACACCTACTCACTGGCATGTATACACACAAACACACACTATAACATACAATATTGGATAGGATAGGTGGATATGCACACTGATCCCATTCAGATCCTTTGAAGTAAAAGTCACTGTGAAATAAAAGGTTTTAAAAAAAAATACAGTTCACATAAAGCACTATAATTCTCAGATGTCCCTTTGAAGGTTGTTGTCAAACAAATTAAGAATACCTAATAAACTGTTCTTCACATGCATCTTATTTTATTCCATGTAATGTGCCACAAATTGATACCTAAGAGTCACAAGAGTACAGCGCACATGACAAGTAGAGGAGAGAAGTAAGGAGAGGAGGGAAGCAAAGTAAAAGTGGGATGCCGCAGGTGTAGAGAGTTGAGAGACTTTTGGGAGAAAAAAGACAGAGACAAAAAGAGTGAGAGGTTGAGTCTAATAAGAACCAAGAGACAACGTGCTGGTGTCTTGTGGTGCCATTTGAATACAGGGCAGCAGCAGCTGGAGTCTGTGTCGAACAGCTCTGCACTTCACACAGCATCACCATCATCAGGAGAGCATAGCGCTGGTACTACTCTGCTGGAGTCTTATGCTGCTTCACACACTCCCACAGACCTGTGTGTGTGTGTTCATGAATGTGGGAATGACTTGGAGCTCCATGGTTCTCATTACTCAGCCACTGTAATGTGCTCTCCTTTCTAGCTTACCGTATTGGGGCTGGTGTTCCCACTGTTGGCTTACAGAAAAGGAAAGGACCGGCCTCACCTCTGTTCTGAATGCATTAGCACACATCACATTTTCAATCTGGACCTCAGCACAGGTTCCCAGCAAGTCTACTGAATAGTAACAGAGTGTATGCATGCAAGTGTGTGTGTGTGCAGGAGAGAGAGAGAGAGAGAGGGGTTGCAGCAGAGTTTAAAAATACCCTTACTCCTGTTCGGTGCTGATAAGTTATGTTATGAGAAACTGCCGGGGCAGACAGCAGGGTCATTAGCATGACTGCCAGATTGAGAGGTAGAGAGGAGAGAAGGAAGCATGGAAGGAAGGAGGGAAGGAAAGAAAGAAATTACACCCAAGTTTCCAAAGTTTTTTAGGGAAACAAGCAAAGCATCCAAACATGAGAATACACATATAATCCAAAGACAAACATGATCCTTCGACCTTTCACCTTTTTAAGCCACTTTCCCACTTGATGATTAGCACCTCTACAGACTACAACATCTGCCTACTTTCTTCATCTGCCACCCCATGCCCCGATGTACATAAAGGTAAACTTTATTTTAATTTTAGTCTGTTGCCTTTCCAGTGGTGGAGGAAGGTAACTCAGGTACTGTATTTGAGTACAATTGTGAAGTACCTGCACTATACTTGAGTATTGCCATCATACTTCCAGGTACTTCTACCTCACTACATTTCTTACACTTTTACACTTTTATGTAACAGTCAACATTGATTTCTCTTCATCATGACAATGTTAACTACCCATAACCATGTCTTTATTAATGTAACTGACTGTGAAGGTCCCCTAACCTTAACAAAGTGCTCATTTCAACCCAAACCATGATCTTTCTCTAAACCTAACAAAAGTCATTTTTGTGCCTAACCTAACCAAACCTTAACCATAGCATTGTCAGATCGTAAAACCGGGTTTGAATCCACTGTGAGACACAAATGTGTCCCTGAGCAAGTCACTTAACCTCTAGTTGCTCCAGAGGCGTGCGACCTCTGACATGTATAGCAATTGTAAGTCACTTTGGATAAAAGCTAAATTAATGAATGTAAATCTGTCATTCTAGAGGGCATTTACAAACAACATATTTTACTAATTAATTTGGAGAATTTGTGTTTGAGAGTTGAAATGATCAGATATTCATGAAAAAGTTCATATAATGAATACACATTTTGTGTAGCATAGCAAGTTTGTTTTTATCTTTCCTCCCCATGAATCATCAATCAAGACCCCTTAGATCTTATTATCTTGTGACCATTCAGTGGGACCTGACGCTAGTTTGGGAACCACTTGACCTAATTACAATAAACCATTAACAGTGTATAAAGTAGTTAAACTAGCTCCACCTCGTCGGGGCGGCTGTGGCTCAGGAAGTAGAGCGGGTTGGCCGTTAATCGGAAGGTCGGCGGTTCAATCCCTGGCTCCCCCTAGTTGCGTGTCGAAGTGTCCTTGGGCAAGATACTGAACCCCGAATTGCCCCTGACGGCTATTCCGCCAGTGTATGAATGAGTGTGAATGTTAGTTTCCGTTTGAGCACTTAGGCTCAGTGTATGAATGTGTGTGACTGGTGAATGCAGATGTAGTGTAAAAGCGCTTTGAGTGGTCGAAAAGACTAGAAAGGCGCTATACAAGTACGGAGCATTTACATTTACCTCAGCCAACTACAGTAACTGTGCTTGCTACTTTTAACTTTTGACATTTTGCTGATAAGACTTCTGAACCTTTGATTAAGTAAGGGCATTTTACACTGTTGTATTGGTACTTTTAAAGGATCTGAGTACTTCTACCACTGCAGTCCAGTGGTCTTACACCTAATTGTATGTTTTATAAGGCATTACATTTGAAACACAAACCTTAAATTTCATGTTTAGGGGACCTGAGGATTATATGTGACCTGAGGATCATTGTTTTCTAATGTTGTGTTGTATTACAATCCCCCTCAGTCCACTCCATCATCTTTAAGTCCACTTCTGCCCAGATATTCTCAGAGGCCTTTTTGACAGCTATTACAACACCAGTCTACTGTCTGGCGCTGCTCAGCAGCAAAGGAGCCAGTTTATTGTTTTAATAGCAGCGATTTCAGTATTCTTTGTGCTGCTGTTGCTCCCTTTAGGAACAACAAATCAAGAAAAATAAAACTTGGATGGCTAAAGGACATGCCTGGGCTGTAAAGAGAAACATAAAAAAGGCACACGTTAATGGAAAGGCTAATAAAGTATGTGTGTCCTACAGAGTTGTGAAGGACTGCTGAAATATCATGAACTGGCTTAGGATGCAAGGGCATGTTTTTCTCAAATTTCATTTTGACGAACTGTCTAGGGTCCTTTTCAGTGTTATTGGCTTAGTTGTTGACCCTTCCTCTACTTATGGAATTAAAGCCTCCCTGAAAATGTGAAGCGGTTTTTTACTTTTCTCTGACAGGTACATACAGTACAAACAGGTGCCAAATCAAAGGAAAACTCTGAATAAATGAGAAACACTAAAAGGAAATGCTTCCATACAGGGTGTCTGTAAATGGTTTGATAAAAATAAAAATGATGTGAATCAATCCTGTGGCCAGATCTCAACCCCCCTGAACACCAATGGAATGTGCAAGGCAGACTCACCTCATCACCAAATGAGGAAATATCTTTTTTAAAAATGGGGTTCATTGTTGAATCACTGACAAAGAGCACTGGTGGCTCGTGGTGGACCAACACAGAGCGGTGAATGCACAAGCTTATAAGAAATTGAAAGGGACCCCAAAACAAGATGGAGGAAAGCTTAGTCCTCGCTATATCCAGGTATCCTCGCCTTTATGACCCAGCAGCAGACAGTTGGTGCAAAGCTTGGTTTATTTAACTTGTTTGTCATGATTAGTGAAATTGGCGATAGGATAGGAATACGGCGAATGTCAGGAAATATATTTAGGAGGAAATGAGTTGGGACAAAAATGGCATGTTAACAATAAAATCATCATTAACATCACAAGTTCAAACTATAATTAAACCTCACAGTCTGTTTCAGTGCAGTGTGTGAAAAATCCGTGATCCAATGTTCAGCGGATCCAGTGGTCTTAGGTGCAGTGGTCCATTTCTGTTCATCATTCACCCTTCAGTGGAATGAATGACTTCAAGACTCTGCTAAT